GGGGGCAGGCGGGCAGAAAAACTTAAATGCCAATGATCTCAACATGTCACCATGCTCCTTCTATCCTTCCAAGAAAAATAAGAGTTTGGAGGTCAGTCTGGTGGCACTCAGCTTGTACCAAGTGTGTAAGGCAGGGCTCTTGAAATCACGGTCCTCAAGCCCTGCTGGTTTTCCAGCCTTCCTTTACCTGCGAGCCTGATGTGAAGCCTCTGGCCAATCAGAATCAGTAATTATTAGCCACACTGTCTGGGAGAACTGAAAACAAGGCCTGGATTTGGAATTGAGGGCCAGATTTGAATAGGGGAGGTGTAAGGAGTCCCCAGGAAGGCCCTGAGGCCAGGACAAACAATAACAGTGATGAACTATAAATCAGAGGAAGGACTTAAGCAACAAATGGCCATGATTTTCAAGCCGGGGCTATTTAAAGAGTAAACTGACCATCCCCATGTCCCCTCCCCCCAGGTGCAGACTATAGTGAAACGCTGTGGCCTCCCCAGCAGTGGAAAGAAACGGGAGCCCATCCGGGTGTACCAGATCCCCCAGCGGCGGCGCATCAGCAAGGACCCGCAGCGCCTCACCATGGCTGACCTGAAACTGCAGGCCGTGAAGGAGATCTGCTACGAGGTGGCGCTGGGCGACTTCCGGCACTCGCGGCAGGAGATCGAGGCACTGGCCATCGTCAAGATGAAGGAGCTCTGCCGCATGTACGGCAAGCGGGACCCCGGCGAGCGCGACAACTGGCGCCTGGTGGCGCGGGACGTCTGCGAGACGGTGGGCATTGGGGACGAGCAGGGCGGAGGCCTGGACGGCGGGGGCGAGGGGAGCGGCGAGGGCGGCAAGGCCGGCGTGGGGGATCTGAAGGCGCACATCGACAAGCTGACCGACATCCTGCAGGAGGTTAAGCTGCAGAACAACATGAAGGACGAGGAGATCCGAGCCCTGAGGGACCGCATGGTCAAGATGGAGAGCATCATCCCCGCCATCGGGACTCAGGTGACTGCAGGGACTCGCACGCGCTCACACACACACACTTACACACACACACACACTCACTCCCTCAGGATCCCTCAGTCCACCTTTTTTGCTCCCTCCCTGCACGCCTATACCAGGCATTCAGTGTTGTTTAGTTCAGTCTCGATCGTTCGCTTTGTTCTCGATCGTTCGCTTTGTTCTCGATCGTTCGGTTCAGGTGTGCTGGGAGTTGGGAGGGCACAAAAATGTGGACTGGCTGAGGGGTCCCCGAGGGCTGGGTTGAAAAGCGCTGCTATAACGTGTTGTGGGGGCAGGACTGGAGCCTAGCCCAGGTCACAGAGAGAACAGGGTTGACAGACACCCTCATGTGGATAACCAGTCCATCACAGGGCACATCACACACACACACAGACACTCTGCAATTTAGACACACCAATTCACTCATCTTACAGTGTGTGAAAATGCATCCTTTAGTCCTAAATTACAGTAAATAAATTACTAAATGCATGCATTTTGATCTGTTCGGTGTCGAACAGTGCAAAGGTGTGACTTCTAGTAGTAAGTGATTGGTCCATCCTGCTGCAGGATGATGGCAGTGCTGAGGAGGAAGAGGAGTTCCAGCAGGAGCCCAGAGAGCTAGAGGAGCAGCATGACTGCTCCATGGGAGACCTCCCGAAGAAGGAGCGCATCACCAAGCTGATGGAGGAGGACCCTGCGTTCCGGCGAGGCCGCCTGCGCTGGCTGCGGCAGGAGCAGATCCGGCTGCAGAACCTGCAGCAGCAGCAGATCACCAAGCGGCTGCGGCGGGGTGGGTGGGCAGGGGCCCTTCCTGCCAGGAATGGGCCGCTTCATCCCGCCGCAGGAGTGCAAGCTGCGCTTCCCCTTTAAGAGCAACCCGCAGCACCGCTACTCCTGGGGCCCTGCTGCCGCATTCATGCTGGGCCTGGGGGGCGGCGAGGACAGCCAGGGGGAGGCCGGAGAGGAGCTGCAGGGCCAGGCTGGGGGAATGGAGGCCCCACACGCCCCTTCGCCCCCACCGCCTGCCTCCACCCCCCCCGGAGGCCCTGTCATGCCCCTCCTCCCTCCCCCCTTCCAGCTACCCATACCTCTGCCCAATGCCATGCCGGGGGGCGGAGGCCAACACCGTATCCGCACACCTAGCCCCCATCGGGCATGGCAGCAGCGTAACTATGGCAACAACCACCATGGCAACCCGCCGTTCCCTCATCAGCAGCAGCCGCGGCAGTACCGCCGGAACTCCTTGGACAGCTCGTCTTCTCTGAACAACCACAACTACAACGGCAACTTCAGCCATGGCCGCCAGGGGCACCCGCGCTACCGCCGGCAGTCCCCCGGGCCTGGGCCCAGGCCGCAGGAGCGGGACTCGCTCCCGTTCCTCCAGGATGGATCCTTCCAGAACCCACGCAAGCCTGGCATGCACAACCATCACCACCACCCGTACCACAACCACCACCAGCAGCACCACGTTCACAGGGGGGGCACCGGCTTCCTCGATGGGGACATACCCCCACCCAAGAATTACACGCCCCATGAGCACCCTGGCACGGGCGAGCTCCAGAAATTCCCGGGTTACACGACCCCCCCACGGATGCGGAGGCAGTTTAGCGCCCCGGATCTGAAGAACAGGGAGACTCCGGTCTGAGGGTGCCACCCCCACCCAGCATCCATCACTCCCCATCCTGCCCCAACGCCAAACCTCCTGCACCGGACAGCAATCATCAGTCCCCACACCCCCCTCCCCCAACAAATTTGTGGGCAGGTCTGCCCCTTTGCTATATACTGCTTATTATCCCTTCTCCTTTTCTCTCTACATGATGTCATAACAGGGGGGGCGGGGGGGCTAGGTTTGAGCGATCTCACCACACATCTAAACCAAGCACTTAATTTACCCGGGCAGCACTCACATTGGCCATGAGAGGGCGACGTGTCACGCAGCATTGTGTCCATTCACTGTTAAACCAACAAGGCAGAATGCATTTGTAAATAACGGGGACTTTAACTTGGTTTTTAAATGAGTTCTATGGCTCCACTTGACGCTGTCCTGTCCTGGTGGGGGGCCCTGGATCTCGCGGGGGTGGGACATTGACAGCCCTCTCAGTGTCTCCTCTACATTAACAGTACTTACACTTCCTGGCTTTACCCCCCCCCCAGACGCTTGCACCCGGAGCACGCCGGCCCCTTGGGCTGTGGACCTCGACCTCAGACACATGACCTCTTCACACTGTAACTGATTGGACGCTGTGGTTTCTGTGTTTGGGAGGTAGAAGCGTCGCTGTGTGATGCGACTGTGCTGCCTTACACAGATTCCGTGTGTGTGTGTGTGCGTGCGCGCGTGTGTGTGTCTCGAGAGCTCTCTCCGTGTCAGTCTGTATACGTGTTTTATATAGACGTAAGTGTCCGAAGCGGACACTAGGGGGAGCGTTGAAACCGTCGCTGAAGTTTTAGCTACTGAAGCACCCAAAGAAAGCAGTTTTGGGGGTGTCAGAGGACTCCGGTTTGTAACCAGCCCTTTGCCACCAAACTGCATGTCATTTGTGTAAAATGTTAACCTTTTTTTTTAATCGTGTTTTTTTTTTTTTGTTAAATGCTGCCCCCTTCAGGTTGCAGTTGGATGGGTCAGGTAAAAAAAAAAATAAAAAAAAAAGACCTCAGCTCCTTGACGCACCTTATAATCCTCGTATTAACAATATAATCATTGAAGCTAGTGTCCCTGGGACTGGTTTGCATGTAGGAGAGGGGAAGGATGGTGAAATTTTATTTCAAAGCAGCAGTAGTAGTCACTGCTTTTGTTTTAGCTTTTGTTTGAATCTTTTTAGTATGTATATTATTTGGAAGGGTGTTTTAGAATTTGAGATGTTCTCTGACCGCTCTGGAGCCGTGGTTCCCATGGCCAATCAGTTGGCAGCAGGGTTCAGGCCTTCATTGTGTGGCAGCCAATCAGGTGGCAGAGTGCAGGCCGCTTCCATCCGTGGGAGAGCAGCTTGGCGAAGCGTTTGTAGGAGGGGCCTGGGAGGAGAACCTGCTGTAACCTGTCAGGCTGCCTTGCACGACGGTGGGTTTTTATATCTCTGGAGATCTCAGAGTTGTAGAAATATCTCAGACAGTCTGAAGAGCTTAAGGATGAAACCTCAAACGATTAGGATATGAATAGGGTAATCTCACTGATCTGTCCATTGGGGCAAAAAACACTAGGTTATAAATCATCATACCAGGTGGGGGCTTTGATTGACGTGCTCTGCACTGTGGGTGATTGGGTTTGGTTAGCATAAAACACGAGGGGGGGATGTAGAACAGAGATAGGATGAACCTCTTCCGTAAATGAAACCACGGGAAATGGTGACATATAGCATTCTGGAACACTAAAACGCACAAGGTTCCCAACACACTCAAACCTATAGCGTGATGCAAGCAATCGTGCCCTACCTCTCCACACTGTCCCCTTGAGGTGACATCATCACCCGGGGCCGATGGCGTGGGCTGCCAGTTATAGAGGTTCCTCGCATTCAGTAGGTCTCTGTACCGTTGGGGTCATTCACTTTACTGAGAGTCCATTTGGAACTGATACCGCAACTTGCACTTGCATATATACAGCCGCAGAAAAAAATTGAGAACACAGCACTCATTTCTCAATTTTTTTTTGCAAACTGCAGTCTGGAGATTCTCTGTTTCTCCTTGATAAAGGGCTTCTTTGCTTTATGGGTCTTCGGTCCTGCTTCAAGGACTGATATTAACTGTCCTAGCAGTGCACTTCACACCTGCACTTAATGTTTCCCATTCCTTTCGAAGGTCACTTGATGTCATCCTACGATTCTTGAGAAACTGTTGTATAAGTTGTCATCTCTGGCAGAAAGTCACTTCCGCCCTCTACCTGACCTGGTTCCTGGTCATTCCCAGTGTCTCCTGCTTCACATTGTTCTTGTGTCCTACTGTCTTACAAATGATGAACCTGGAAGCAACTCATTGCTCAGCGTAGCCTTCTGCCAGCAGAACCAGGATTAAACCAGGATTAACAAATGCAGATTTGTTTAAAAAATATAGAGTGGTCTCAATTTTCTTTACGGCTGTATACCATGTTTTGCATGCCGGGGGCATGTAGGCAGGCTGGGAGAGGGGGGAGTTAGCCAGATGAAAGAGAGAGAGAGGGTGGTATGTGGGTTTGAATCATGCTATCATTTAAGGCTGAAGAGCACACAGAATGTGATGGAGAAAGTGTAATACGCCAGTGGAAATGGTGCCAAATGTCATGGGCTGAGGATACATTAGTGGCTGTATGCTGTTGAGAGTTATCAGTGTTAAAGGTTAGTTGTAATTGGTCAGAGGATGAGAGATGGGTTAGTTATTGCTGGTCTGTGAATGTTTAGTAAAATATAAGTGCCATGCATAAGTATGGGGTTTTAAAGGGGTTTGTGATCTTTAGGGTAGTCAGCGTTATCTGCCAAAGGTTGACTTCACCTCAGGTTACCCATTTTTTGTTAAAATGTGCTGGTTTCTGGAAATAGTAGTGTGCCCCCCTCTGTGTGGAGGACTTTACTGCAGGACTTGTGCCTGACACAACTATAAGGCAAGGAGAGGCGAAAAGGCTGGAGTGAGACTCTGTTGAAACAAGTGTTGTGATAATGTGAAACCCCCCCCTCCCTCCCCTCAGTGTCCCACGATTCAGACCTATCAGAAAGGGTTTGCAGACAGCAGGAGAATTACCCCCCAGGGCATAAAAATGGTTTGTCCCGGTCTTCCTGGCTAAGACCCTCGCATTGACTGAAGTGGGTGTTTTTTTTAATGCTTTTTCCGGAATTAGTGTAGGAATGTGCGTATCGTGAACGCAAACCTGAGGACGAGGATCAGACCTTTTCTAAATAGGAGCACCCCACTGACTTGACGAGTACTGTACATGTGCGGTAGGACGGAGGTGCGGATGAGAGTGACGTGGGGGGGGAGACAGACTCGCCGTAATAAATTCAGCTGCTCCATCCCCTTCCTCATTTTACAGATGTTATAAATTAATCGTTAAATAAATATTACCGTTTCATTCTCTTGATTTTTTTTTCTGTTATTGTATTAGGACAATCTGTTAGTGTGTTTCTGACATTTCTACTTTTTTCCTGTTGTGTTTCTGACATTAAACAAAACAGGCTTCTCTGGCTTTACTTACTTACTTTTAATGGGAGTTGTTTTTAATCGTTCACTGCATTTGCTCTCCACTCTTCCGTAATTCTTTGATCTCTCTCGTCTTTTTAATTATGCTAATGAGCTAACACACTGCTGATGCTGCTCGGAGTGTCTCGGCTGGGAAGGCCTGCCGATTTAAGGCCTCCTGCCCCTAAAAGGTTCCTTGCCGTCTAAGGTTTACAAAGCAAAAGAGGCGGCAATATGAATTATCTTCTAATGAGTGGATTTTACATCCGGCTGAGAGAGAGAGACAGAGTGTGAGCGAGGCGATCCGCAGTTGTGTCTTGGGATTTGGATATATCAAAATAAGTCCCCCCCCCCTCCCCCGCTGTGTCTCAGTGCCCCATGAGCTGATGTTCATTTTCCTTTTGTTACTTGAGTCCTTCATTTAAATGTTTTTTTTTCTCTCCCATTGATTTTATCAGTTGTCTGAAAGAAGGCAGGACTGTTGTAAAGTTTGTGGTCATTTGAGCTTGTGACAATGCATAAATAAAGGCGAACCTGAACGGGTCGGTCTCGGGAATGTTTGGACCGCCTGCTTGTTTGTACAAGAACGTACGTTTGGGTGGGTCATCCTTACAGCTGTGTGTTTGGACCTGTTACCCTCCCTGTTCATTTACACTAGGTATGGAGAAGCATCTTCAAGATCACCATCATTGCTGATTATCTACAGACCTGACAGGGGTCGGGGTCTCTCTCCATGCCCATTACGGACATTTAACTTGGTGACCTGGGCATATTTTAACTGAGCTAACAAGGTGGGTTTTTAAAAAAAAATAAAATAAAAAAAATTATGAAGTACCACGAAGTTCATCCACCATAGAACTGAAAGGATTAAGGTTATAACATGACTAACTAAGATACAGCTGAATTGCACAAAACAACCCCATAACCAAGGGTACCCAACTCAACAATAACCAGCTCTTAATATGCAAAAAGAACAGTAAGCTCTGTACTTTTATATAGCTGTATGGTCCTGCCATTCACAAAGCTATCAAAAGCACATTCCATTAGCAGGGACAGTTCTATTATGGCCATGATGAAGTTGTGGTGTGGAGCCAACATACTGGCATGAAGTCATTTCTCCAGAGGCGAAGATGGGAACAAATCTGAGCATGCGATCCTCAGCCGGATCATGCAGCGGCACTGGTGCGCTAATTAGACTCAGCCCAAACGGGAATGTGCCTTACTCATGAAAGCTGAAACGAGGGGAAAAAACACTTAGCCAGCTGTATAATTGGGAAAAAACAAAATGCGTTTAGGTTTAAGTGCTGGGTGGGGTCGTTTAATGACTATAATTTCAGTCTAATTCCACGGTTGCCACCACAAACATCTTCACAATGAGACTCAACAAAATTAGTAGCGTGAATGTGTTTTATTCAACAGATCGTGCCAAAGAAACACTAAGCAAAAACAACAACATGGGACAGGGGTGAAGTGGTCGGGTACTGGCGCCCCCTCTAGGTCAGCCGCTGAATAACTTCGGCAGCTGGTTCCCCAGAATGACCTGTCGCTCCACGCCCGTCTCGGTGATGGTGGCCAGGCGTGCGACCCCCCCGCTGGAGCCGTCCCTCTCCATAGCCAGGCTCAGGGCTGTCAGAGGAAGGCAGGAATATCAGACCAGTCATGCACAAGGTGGACGGTCTGGCAGGCAGGGGGCAGAGCCAGAGCGAACATGTGATCGCAAGGCAGTCTGGTTGAAGTCTGACCAAGGTACACACAGTAGTCATCAAAATTTCAGGTTAACAATCCCCAGGTATCACTACTGCTGGCGATTTTTCTTCTTGTTTATGAAAAACCATCAGGAGGGTATCATTCATCTAGGGGCAATTCTAGGATTTCTAAGGTGGGGAGGGGGCATAAAAGGGACCATGATTCATACAGAGGGGCCGCATCCATCTGTACACTCAAGCAGAACACGCTGTGCAGAAAGGCCTCCATTTGTCAAACTATGCAATGTGGCTCTAGTTTCTGCAATATCTGGAGCATTTCATCAGCCACTAGACAACTCTACGTAGAGAAACCAGGTTTGAGATCAGAGAGATAGAGCCGTCTAGGTGCCTAACCCAGGCAGCGGACTCAGAAATACGGCAGAGTGATGCGTCGGCTGCCACTTACCCTGTGTCACGAACTTCAGGCACTCCTCCTTACTCATCTTGGACTTGTAGTTGGAGTCCACAAAGCCGTAGATGTAGGAGCTGCCAGAGCCGCCCACCGAGACTGGCTGCCTCACCAGCATGCCCCCCATGGGCACCGTATATACCTGGGGGGGGGGGGGGGGATGGGACTGCTTTAGAAGGACGCTAAGGATCTGCAGATCGGTAACGAAATATCGATTCAGTATTGAATCTTTCATTTTGAGAAAATATACAATTTTTTCCACCTGATCATTTTAAGCGATGCCCCAATCCAATATGTATTTGGATCAGCATCGGCACCCATCCAGACCTAATTGATGGATCGGGTATCAGCCATATGTGACCGATCCATGTGCCATACTTACCTATTTCGTTTTTGGCAGTCTCTAAAAAGATATGTCCTATTTTATGTTAAATCTATGTGCAGTCAATCGCACGACAGGTCTTTTATATTTCCAATGTTTTGGTTTTTTTTTTTGCAGCATTCAAGCCGAACGCTAACGCTGCCTCTCAGTCTATTTGCCACTCAGTGGGAGTGAGCGCAGTGACTTCGGCTGCAGTGACTTCGGCTGCAGTGACTTCGGCTGCAGTGACTTCGGCTGCAGTGACTTCGGCTGCAGTGACTTCGGCTGCAGTGACGTCACGTGCATGCCCTTCTAGTAGCAGTGGCATCACCCATCCGTACTGCACACCCACCTGTCCGCCCCACCGCTTGTCCCAGCCGGCCACGATGATCCCGGCCATCAGCTCCTCCCTGTATCTATAGCACATCTCCTTGAACAAGTTGGCAGCCGTCTGCACCAGTGGGGGCTCATCCAGCTCGATACTGGTGGGGGGAGAGGCCGAGAGGAGGGGCAATGAGTGGCACGTATATCAGCCATGTCCTGAGCCAACGGTCAGAATGGGGGCTGATCCAGGCATTTTTTAACCAATCAGTATCGGCGACCGCTGCCCAATCCAAAGCTGGATCTGCAGACACTCCTCACTTAACGACCGAGTTCCAATCCTACGACTAGGTCGTTAAGTGAATTGGTTGATAAGTGAGGAGCTGCCCCGTACTGATATTTCAAACATACCGTACTGGTATTTTCAGTATATTTATACAGTAGTGTACTGTATACTGTATTAAACAGTGCGCTGTTCCCGCTACGAGTTTTCTCCGTATGCGACAGGTGAAAATCTATGAGTGAAACTGTACTAAACCAAACACAGAACATTCTTAGGGGATCTCTCATCTAGCACAGCAAAGGTAGCCTACAACAAGCTGGCCGGTAAGTGCAAATGTTAATTATCAACGGAATTACAAATAAAAGATAGGCTAACATATATAGGCATGTATCGCAAATTAGCATCACTGCAATCCAGTGAAACACCGTTAGCGTCTTTTTGCACATTGCTGAACTAAAACAGCGTCTGGAAAATAAATAAGTTACTTATACATATTAACTGAAATATGGAACAAGTAAAAAGGTTACAGCCGTTGCTTTCGAAGACGTAAGAAAAGTATGATACAGGAAAACTTAAAGCTTGCGCACGTCTATGCTTCATGCGCTAATGGCGGTTCCCTATCTCACAGTACAAAGCATATGCATCATATCAAAATAATCATCCTTCGCCAACCCAAATAAATTACAGAGTAGAACAACCAGAAGAGAACAGAAACCAAAGTTTTTCTACATCATACAATGCTGACTGGTCAGAGAGCTGTTCATAAGTCCAAGCGGTCATTAAACAGGTAGGTCGATAAGTGAGGAGTATCTATATTTCCCACGTCTGCCTAATTTATGTCCGTTGTGCAAGTGTTAAGGTTCCGTGGCCCGCTGCACTAAGCCTGACGCACATGGCATGAAGCTACAAACTATTGACATGTCAGCCTTGTGGAAGTTCTTTAGCGTATATAAGAGGGTTTTCCCGGCCGGGGGGGGGGGGGGGGGGAATGTGGTCGCACACCTGTGGAAGCCCAGCTGGTAGGTGACGGCATCGGCGATGGCCTGGGTGTCGGCGGCGGATCCGGAGCGGCAGCAATAGATGCGCTCGTGGATGGGCGTGAGCTTGTCCGTCACTCTGTTAGCGATGTAAGCTCTGGGGGGGGGGGCAGATGCACGGAACACTGTGTAAACCCACACGTGAGGGCTGGAGAACCACATGACATACAACATTACAAAACAAATTCATCCAGGTCAGGGTTACGGGGAGACCTGGAACCTACGCCAAGCAGCACAGGGCAGAAAGCTGGGCTACTGCCCGGATCGAACGTTACAGAGCACTGCACTACTGTCCATCGTACACGCTTCAGACAAATGATCAGCTTCTGAAGGGCTCAAACAATCCAAACCCTGCGTGATGTGTTTGGACACATTTCCATTAATGCAGCAAACGAATGATGAGCTTATTTGGGGAATTTTAAGTCTTTGCATCAGCATATATTTCGATAACGCACTGAGTAACAACCTTGATGTGTCTAAAATTTGGCAATGACAGGGTGATCTGGGCTGGGTGGCTGGGGGGGTACATCGTTTGCACACTTCATATTCCAGAATAATAAAATTAATTAGCATCTGTATCATTTACACTACTACATACATTACAGTTTAAAGCACAGGTGTCAGACTCCAGTCCTGGGGGGCCGGAGCCCTGCACATTTTTGGGTTTCCCCTCGTTTAACACACCTGATTCAACTTCTTGTGCTAATTACCACATAGCAGTTGAGCTGAATCATTTGTGGTGGAACAGGGAAAGAACTAAGCTACACAGGGCTCCGGCCCCCAGGACTGCAGTTTGACACCCCTGGTTTAAAGGAAAGAGGCAGAGGACATTGATGTTACATGTACATATTTAACGGGTGCATTTGTCCAATGCCACATACAAGTGAGGCAAATATCAATTACAAACATAGGAGCTTTCGGGGATTCAGCACCTGATGGACATGGAGGATCGTGTTATTCAGATCCCTTACCCAGTGGTCGTTCGGGAGTCGGCGCCGATCACCACCCCTCCTTCAAATTCGACTGCCATGATTGTTGTCTAGGCAAAGCAAAGTTATTTAAATAGTACAATTCAATCACAAGGCACGTCTTCGGAAAAAAATTATGATATTGATAGCACCTGGTAAAATAATTACATTGACATAGCGACTATATTGTGGGATATTCGCCAACTAAGACAACAAGTTGCACAGATATAGAGGATGCATCTCAATGTCAGTCATCTCGTAAAATATAGTGCGATATCATAATACTACGTTTATTAATACTATGTAACCCGCCACGTTGCACGTACTTATAAACAACATCGTTTGCAGAGACTTTAAACGTCCCGGGCAGTATTACTGTCATAGAGCCATAAAGTTATTCTATCACAGACCCTAGTATTAAAACCATACACTAACAATCGAATAATTTGTACGTGAATTACACGGCTATTGTATACTACGTTAGTTGAAGCTTCTGAATGAGGTTTGATTGCAAGTGTTAGGCGGCAGACTAGCTTTCAAGCTAGTATATCTGCTGTCTCATTTAACGGCGGCCGTGAGGAAAAGTGCAGATAAACACGAACCACAAATCGCTTTCTCGCCAAACTAAAAGAAAAACCACTGGTGAATTGACGAGCTACAATCTCACCCCGGTGCTGACTTCCTGACGGACCCAGTCCGGTACCAAATCATTAACAGAAGAAAGATGCTGAGCTCTCATAGCTGTCATAGACGCCGCCATCTTGTCTGACTGGGCTAGAATGGTCAGTTTTTTTCCATATCGAAGTATCTATATTGCTAAATGTTTTTCGATGGTGCCCCCTATAGGTACGGAGGCCAAATGAGCACAAGGACGGGGAAATTCCACACGCTGGGACTTGCGTAAGGATGAGCCCCTTGGAGATGGAGGGGGATTTTTAAATGAAGCTTCATTACTATTAGCATAACTAATAGCACACTGTGTACAGAATGAACTGTTCCAAAGGGAGAGCGGGAGAGCCTAGTTAATCGACAGGTTTAGCCTTCTGGCCAATAAATAATAACAATACACAAATATGCAACAAATTGCATGTAATGATAATAAATAATAAAATAGCACGGAGATGATTTATTTCTACGAATCAAACAAACAAAATTATTTCTGCTGTTGCTCCAATCCCAGTATTCCCATTTAACGGCCTCTCTGTAGGCTGCTCCTCCGTATGTGAGAATTCAGCTGTATTTAACGGTGCATAACTATATAAAACGTCGGTGGTTCTTGCAGTCGAAACGGTTACCGCTGTTCAAATGTCTTACACGATTTTGATTCTTTGAAGATATTTTATATTAGTTATATGAAGTTCTACTGAATCAGTGTTTTTCTGTTGCCGTATTTAGCTGCCTTATCTAGAGGGGTATAAAACCAATGTATTTAAAAAGGTAATTTTTGGACATAACAGAATCGCCAAGCTCGGCAAGAATAATAGGCTATCTCAGTTTATTCCACGCAGTGTTGATTTTTTTTTCTCTTCAAATCTCATAAAAACATCACATGCTGCTGTCACAGTGGTCTGACTGTAGTCTTACCTACGGTATTATGTTGGGTTAATTCTGCATTTGACCCACAAGTATTCTAGGCATTCGCTGGGGCATGAGATGAGTGTAGGAAAGTACCATTCCATTCATCTATTTTCTCAGAACTGCTTATCCAGCGAAGAGTCATAGTGAGTTTGGAGACTGTCCCAGAAAACGCAGGGCATGAGTCAGGGTACGCTTTGGACTGGATATCGGTCCAACACAGGGCATACACACACACCAAGGCAACTTTGGGACACTGATTCAGCTACACTGCATGTTTTCTCACCATGTCGGGAAACAAGACAAACTGCAGGAGACTCACACAAACACAGGAACAGGCAAATGCCGCACACATTGAGTTGAGGGTGGGAATTGAACCCACAACCTTAGTAGGCAATGCAGACTCTAGCCGGCTCTGTTTTCAAACAGTGCATGCATCCATCCCTTTTCTGTAACCACTTATCCTATTCAAGGTCGTAGGGGATCCAGAGCCCATCCCCAAGGCAACAGGCACAAGGCAGGGAACAACCCAGGATGGGGCACCAACCCATCACAGGGCATGGACACACCGTTTACTCACAAACTCACACCTACGGGCAATTTGGCAACTCCAATGAACCTCAGCATGTGTTTGGATTGCGAGGGGAAACCGGAGTACCCAGCGGAATCTCCATGAAGACACGGGGAGAACATGCTACTCCACACACAAGGAATCATGGCGGAGGTGAGAGGCAACAGTTCTAACCACTGCACCACCGTGCCGCCCCCTCGAACAGTTCATATAAATGTAATTTGGGCCGCAATCCCACCAGCCGCCACCGGTCGATAACCACTCCGGGGGCCCGGTGAGCAGAGGGACAGTACAAATTGATTTTCTCCCCGGAACGGTCTGAGACATCCGAGGAATTTTCAGCAGAGTTATGCACTTCAGCACGGCACATTCCCCCTGTGGACTCGGCCAAGAAAAATGTTTGTCACAAGATGACATTTACACGAATGTCATCATCATTCTACGCGTTGTCTGCAGTTGTGAGTCTGCAGTTCCCCTCTTCCTGTGCACTGCCACTCAGACTTAAGTGGGTCATTTTTAAAGCCGTGGCTCAACTTATTAAAACTTTTTTTCGTTAATGAAATTTATATTGCTTAATGTGGCAGCCGGATGCCTTCTGTGCCATTCTGTCACCTGCTGTATTGACCTGCCGCTTATAGAAAGTTCTAGAAACAACCTGGCAGTAATTCGATTGGCCACCTGCCACATCACACAGGAAGAGGGCGTCACCGGCGATGTGGATGTGGAGGAGAGGCGGGGCAGCAGCAAACTTGACCGCTAGCCTAGCGACTGGCACAAAGCGAGGTATTTTGTTGTCACTGCAGTGTGGAATGTTCTAGCACCTGTTCTGTGCAGTTTCCCTGAGCCAAAAGAAAATCTGGTACTTTTCCAACGTCACAGCAGTGGAAGAACAATGATCCTTCCCAATATATTATCGTCTTGTGTGTGACAATGCCCGTCGAGCATACAGGGTGCATGCTAATTATTCCCAGTAGACACAGTGTATTCACCATCAGCACTGAGGACGTCGCCACATTTTCCTCAAAGAGGTCCTTAGCTGACTTTTTTTGTGCCAGATTTATTTTTAATCTTGCCATGTCGTTGTTTTTTTTTAATGATTTATCGTTGTTCCAGATAAACCTCATGCTGCTGTCGGATGGACTGTTGCTGGTGAATTTGTGGCGTGTGTGTGTGTGTGTATTATGTTTATATTACATTGTAGGGACCAAATATTCCCCACAATGTAATAAAAACCTATCATTTTGACAATGTGGGGACCATTTTTCAGGTCCCGCAAAGATCTATAAATGCAATCAAGAAACTAAAAAACGTCTCGTATTTTGTTTGGTTACTTATGGTTATGGTTGTCATAGTTAGCGTTAGCATTTTTCCCCATTGAAATGAATGAGCGGTCCCCATAAGGATATGTTTACCCTACATGTGCGTGTGTGTGTGTGTGTGTGTGTGTGTGTGTGCGTGGCTGAATGAGTGCGAGCATGACACTCGTGTGTTTGTCCCTGGCTGCAGAAAGTGTCAGGAACAGGGATGATCCATGGGTCAGTAGAGAGCCAGAAACTTACTGTCACTACACAGCTTTCCAGAATATTCTCTATCTGCCATTCCAAATATGTCAAAGCACCTACGCCCCACTACTGGGAAAGGGGTCATATTCTGGGGGCCAGTTGAAAATGCAAAATAGAGATTTGTATACAAACCTTTACTGCTAACTTGTAACTTTTATTAAGCTATTAAATATTAATGATGTAGTAGACAAGTAGATAATCTATCAGGTCATTTTGACTAAAACGTTCTCTGGAGATAATAATGATACTTTATTAATCCCCGTGGGGAAATTCTCAGTGGTGGGCGGGGCTTGTCACAGCGCTAACAGGCGTTAGCCGTCAGTGGGCAGAGGGACATCAACAAGGGTAAGATGCCCCGCCGCCTGGTCCTAGCTGTGCGGAGGCCACAGGAATGGGTTCGCTGTTTCTGGGGCTCCACTAAAAAATGTCCAAGTGTAGTGACTGCTTGTGGCCAACAGGGGGCCCCCCAAATGCAAAATCATGGTTTGAGTGTTGGGAGGTTGGGGGTCTGCGATCCTCTGCTGGGGATAATTAGCGGCCGAGGGGGTCATTGAGCAGCTCTAAATCTGAACTGGAAACGTGTGATGCCCCCCCCCCCCCTTACACACAAACACTCACAAATGCAGGTAAACGAGCAGGCAGGCGTGCGGAAGCCCCGGAGAGGGGGGATGGCCGCCAGTGTGGGCACCAGCGCCGCACGCGTGCCGAGAGCTGCAGGCCGCCTGCCACGGAGCCCTCCCACGCCGCCATGACACATTCTGCCTTAAAGACGGAGGATGTCACACCACAGCGCTAAAGTGCTAGCAAGCATTAGTGGGGCTTAAAACCATGAGCCAGAGGAGGCCCTGTCATGTGACCATCAGACAGGACCCTCTGATTGGACAGAAAGTTGGGCATGGACAATGTTATACAATGTGCAGTGTCCTTCAGGATTGAAAACTAATATCTATCTATCTATCTATCTATCTATCTATCTATCAGCACAGTAGGTAGTTATAGCCAAATGGTTCGTGAAGCGTGTTTGTAATTTAATGTTTGTGGGTGTGAATCTCTGACCAGCAAGGAGCCACTGAGGTGCCCTGAGCAAACTACCCCCCCCTCTCCCAAACACTGTTCCTTGGGTGCTAAATAATAGCTTCCCACTGCTATGTTAAATGCAGAGGACACCTTTTGTTGTGGCATCTCACAATGATTTATCACCAAAAACCTTACATCATCTTTTTCCCACTGCGGGGTCCCCGTGAGCCAGTCGTCTCTGTCACAGACCACGAGGCAGGGGACACAATTTATGGGTCATCAGTCTGCACATTTTTGGATTGTAAGTGAAAACCCATATAGGCATACAACCTCCACACACACAGCAGAGGCAGGATTCGAACCCTCAACCCTGGTGTTGTAGAACCACCACCTTTCTTCAAGGAGCTGGGGCTCGCTTATATGCATACATACCTGAAATCTGCAATGCACCTGTATTCTTGATATTCACCACTAATGGGACAGCTGGGATATGTAAGCTGATTATCATGTCACTTTCCATGTCACGCAACTGACCGCCAAACACTCCGCCCTCGCCTGACCGGGATCCCGCGGCTTGACGACATGGATCTGCTGGCTTAATTATGGAAAGCTCCGGGAGACGACGGCGCTAATTAACAGCTCCTGACGAGGGATTCCCCAAGATGGCAGTTAGCAGAGGGTTTCCCACACGACCTCTGTCATGTTCCTCCGGTCAGTTTTGCGGCCTTCGGAGGCAGGATGGTGGACAGCACTACCTACAGACCTGGAGCTGCTCAAACCATAACGTTCATCTGGGGGCCATGCTAACACGCTAACTAACATACTAACTGACATGCTAACACGCTAACTAACATACTAACTGACACACTAACATGCTAACTGACATGCTAACACGCTAACTAACATACTAACTGACACACTAACATGCTAACTGACATGCTAACACGCTAACTAACATACTAACTGACACACTAACATGCTAACACGCTAACTAACATACTAAGTGACACACTAACATGCTAACTGACATGCTAACTAGCATGATAACTCACACACTAAGTGACATACTAACTTACATGCTTACTAACATGCTAACTGA